CATGATTGTTTTTAGTGATTGTTTCACTGATTCCATCACAGAAAATCCAGAGTTCTAGAAGTCATTTAAACTCAGGACTGACATGATAAACGTGGACTTTACACGTGGATGGAAACCGTTGTTCAGACTGTTGGGCTGCATTCCTTTACACACAAAAACCTAAAACAAAAAATAAGCTCAACATAAAATAAATACCTAAAAACTTAAAATCAAGTCCACAAGATTATGAATCTGAAATAAACTGGAAACCTCCCAAAAAATACATAAAAAAAAACTGGATGTTATTTACAGTTCTGGTTTGTTTTTGTTTATTTCTTTATGGCTCACATGTAAATATATTTTGCGGTGATGTTACTGGTTATTATCTGTAATTCAAGAAAAACAAGGAGATTCAGTAAATTACTAAGAAAAAAAAATCACAGTTAAAAAACGTGAAAAAGTGAATTTTTTAGAGTGTATTTTATGTTAACTGTGCAAAATTAATACAAATTTAATCCAATCATCAGGAGTAAATGTCATATTTTTGTGCTTTCGTAATTCAACCTTGTTCAGCCAAGCTAGATTCTAACCAAACACCCACAGCTGGATTCATGCAGCTGTTTATTCTCAGCAGTAAAGTCATCGAGGAACATCATAAACACACAGCAGTCCGTCCCCAGACTCTCATTATGAAGCTCTGACCGGCTCAGCGGGACCACCGAGTCCCACGACAACCTCTCGCCTGTTTTTACCTCCACGGCGTCAGAACTCTGACGGGCTTTTACATCAGCGGCAGAAAACGAGGCAGGAGGAAGAAGCTGAGGAGGCGAAGGGAAGCTGGAGGAAGGTGCAGATGTCAGACCGAAGGCAACACAGTGTTCACGACTAAATCACCTCGTTTGATCCAGAGTAGGACTGCAGCAGCATCGACGGCATGTTTTCTGCACCGTTCACCGGGACGGCACGTTTTGATGCCACATAAGAGACACAAACGACCACATAGAGACACAAAACTCCAAAAACTGTGACAAAAAGAGACAGAATAACGACTAAGAGGTGCAAAACAGTTACAAAGCAACAAAAATGGTGACAGAAAGATGCAAAATAGCTCAGAGGAGACACAACATAGCGACTAAAGGATGCAAAATGACCAAAAACGACCACAAAGACTTGCAAGATAGCCACGAAGAACTACAAAAATGGCTACAGAATGATTTAGAATAGCTGTAAAGAGATGCAAAGTAAATACAAAACGATGCAAAACAACTATAAATAGGATGCAAAATGGCTCCAACGAGATGCAAAAAAGCTACAAAGTGATGTAAAATGGCTTCAAAGGGACACAAAATAGCTACAGTGATAAGCAAAACATCTATGAAGAGATGTAAAATAGCTACAAGGTGATGTAAATGGCATGAAAGAGATGCAAAATGGCTACAAGGTGATGTAAATGGCATGAAAGAGATGCAAAATGGCTAGAGACACAAAATAGCTACATAAACATGCAAAACAGCTACATAAAGATGCAAAATATCTATTAAAAGATGAAAAATAGCTACGAAGAAATGAAAAAATGGCTTCAAAGAGACACAGAACAGTGTAAAGGGATGCAAAATAGTGACAAGTTGCGGGTTATTTATGAAAAGATGCAATGTAGCTGTGAAGAGATGCACAATAGCTACAAAGAGATGCAAAACGGCTACATAAAGACAAAAAAATCTACATAAACCCGAAACAAAGCTACATAAAGACGCAAAGTATCTATGAAAAGATGCAAAATAGCTACAAAGTGATGTAAAATGGCTTNTGTGTGTGTGGAGCTGAGCAGCACCTTTTATAGTCGTTGTGTCTCCATCAGACGGATCAACATCTCCAGTCACCATAGTTTACCTTATGAGGCAGCAGTGTGGGTCTGTGTTACTGTCTGTGTGTTTGTGTTACTGTCTGTGTGTGTTTGTGTTACCGTCTGTGTGTGTTTGTGTTACCGTGCAGACACAAAGAGCCAAACACAATGAAACCAACCTAATTACACACACACACACTCACACAGACACACACAGGATTAGAGGCAGTAATCCCAATAATTTAGCATCTGGTGCTAAAAGCTGCTGGACGGTCTGACGGAGGCCTGCACTGGAGGACTGTGGGTAGTCAGAGGGGCATTGTGGGTAATCACAGGAGGATTGTGGGTAATCAGAGGAGCCTGCAGGTGAATCGGGTGTCAATTAAGAGATTGATGAAGGTGAACTCTGCTCCTCAACCAAATCAGCTGGATGAGAGTTCATCAGCTGATTAATCAGAGACTTCTGAAGACATGAACCTGATTCAGTCTTTTTGTTTAAAACTGCTTTCCAAACTTGAAGTGATCGATCAATCAGTAAATGATCAATAACTGCAGCCCTGCTAACAATAACTCCAAATAATTGTGATCCTGAATCATGAAACAAGGCCTCGACCTGGAAAACTGACCTGCTGCTGACTGATCAAACTGATGGATCTCAGTGTTCGTGTTCAGTAAACATGTCAGTTTGTAGACTTTTGTAGATCTGAAGCTAAAAGAGTTTTGATTATTGATTTTACATTATTGTTAAAAACCTACAGAACCCAAACCAGACTCACCTGGAAGCAGCTGAGCTCAGTCACACTGACGGTCACTGGCTGAACAAATCATCTGATCTCATTGATTTAAGGCACAAACACAACAGTTGAGCCTCTTCAGGCTGAAGCTCCATTTCACAGCTGATGTCTGTGAATTCTGGGTTAAACCTGTGAGCTCCACCTCGGACTCACCTGAGCTACCTGGAGCCTCCATCAGCTGCTGCAGGAGGATTCAGGCCAATCCCATGTGGAGGAATTACAGCGTCTGTCCGCCGCCGAGTCTGCGCACTGAGCGCCTCCATTGTCTGGAGCAGCGGCGGCGGCAGCGGCGGAGCGCAGCGCCGAGCAGAGCGCAGGGAGCGGCTTCACTCAGCGCCACCTCCGGGGAGAGCAGCAGCGGAGCAGCGGCGGACGGACCGACGGACGGGCGGACGGACCGACGGACGGACGGACGTCCCAGTTTGCTTTGGTCGGAGCCGGAAGCGGAGCGTCTGTTCGCGGACAGACAGCAACAGTTGTCACGATGTCTGCGATCAGATGAGGCGGAGCGGCGGAGCAGCACTGCGGCGCCGCTGAGTCCGGGCCGCCGCGTTAACGGCCGCGCTGCGCATCTGGTCGTCCAGCCGGATCTGGGCTCGTTCGGCCGGTGCAGCCCGCGGCTCAGCTCATCGGACGGCGGGCTGCTCATGCTCCGCTCGGCGGGGAACCGGGCTGTTGCGTCTGCAGAGAGCTGACGAGCCTCCGACACACGGACAGACAGACAGACAGGCAGGGAGGGGGGCGACAGCTGCTCCGAGCCGAACCCCTCCGGATCACCAGAACCCCCACCGAACCCGCTTTGGATGGGGGGCAAGCAGAGCACGGCGGGCCGGCCCCGGGGAGCGTTTCCCGGCGTGTCCACGGATGACAGCGCGGTGCCTCCGTCGGCCCACTTCGGCCACTACCGGCCCAGCGGCACCATGGGCCTGCGGAGCCGCTCGGTGAGCTCCGTGGCCGGGATGGGCATCGAGCACAGCCCCGCCGTGCCCTTCGGCTTCTACACCCCCCGGGGGACGGACTCGGACCGAGCCGGAGGGGGGTCCGGGGGCACCACCGCGGCCCCCCACGGCACCGGCTACCAGGACCCGGGGGGCGGAGGCCACCACACGGACGGGGTTCTGTATCTGGGGTCCCGGGGGTCGCTGGCTGACACTCTGCCCCTGCACATAGCACCCCGCTGGTTCAGCGCGCACAGCGGTGAGACGCACACACACACACACACACACACACACAC